CCCCAAAACCCCAAAACCCCAAAACCCCATGATAGTAATTTTAGATAAATGAAAAAGGAAAATTTTTTAATTTAACAATTACTGATGCTAATATTAATAATATGATTAAAAATATTAAAACTTAAATATAGATTAACTGAAATGATTTGTCTATTATTCAAATGAAATATAATTTCAAGAGCTAAGGACTAGTCCCTTAAATTTATCTTGAGTATCTGGATCCCATAAACTATACTCCTCTAATGTTACATCACCTGAATTCGACTATATTTTTTCATGAATAATTTCTACTCCTTTTATGCTTTAATCAAATTCAAATATCACATCAATTTTTGAAATCATGAGTGCCAATAAATCCCAGAAGTATTACCATTAATTTGTATCACTCGCCCAGAATTATGGGCTTTTAAACACTATGTCAGAGAATATTTGTGCTAGATATTTCTTTGTGAAATTTCTAGTTGAAGATATATCGTTGAGAAGCTATAATAGAAATTTCCAAGTATCCTAAAGTAATCCATCATTCAAAAGCAATAAATTTCTAATTTGTTCTACGATTTAATCAAAATTCATGGTCTTTTTGAGATTCTCTCCAATCTTTTTGAATAAAGGGAAAAACTGATAGGTACAGAGAGGCTCTTCCATGCATCTTAGTATAGATCTCAAATAATTCATTACAATCTTAGAATCATTTACTGTTTGCAAATATCTGTAGTTCCCTAGAGTTATTTAAGTTTCAAGTAAGTCTAACTAAATATTCTCTTCTTTATCTAATTTCATAAACAAGTCAGGATTGCTTATTCTTTTCTTTTTATCTTAAAAATATTTCTAAATCTAGACAAAAACCTCAGGTAGATCAAAATCAAGAGATCTGTAAAAATGCCTAATATGCTTACCAATTATGTCATGGCTTAAGCAAATACCTTTGCTAATTTGTTCTGAATCATAATTTGATATATTAAGAATACTGGAGCTCTTTCAGTAGAAATTTGGTTCATCTTACTCTGATGAGGTATCTGAGTTAAAAGATGAAATTATTGATTCAGTGTAATTTATTAGTTCCATATCTGGTTTAGATTTGCTACTAAGTTCTCTTTAGTACATATCTAGTATTTATAGAGGTAATTATTTTAGAAATCTCGCTGATATTGATATGTCTTTGTCATCCACCATAAGCTTTCTTAGAAATTTAGGAATCCTATATTTTTTTAGACCTTTGTTTAATTTACTTTTTGAAAATTTATATTTTCGGGAATGCTTCTCTTACAGATTTTGAGATACAGCCATCAACTATGAGTCTGCTTTGAACATAGAGAGATGGTTAAACGATGTAAATTTGTTAGAGATTATTTCTCTATTAATCATCCATTTTTTAGTATATTGACTTAAACTTTAGCAGAGCTCCTTTCTTTGATGCTCCTACATTGCTGTGCACATATATCAACTTCCATTTAAAACTATGGTTTAACAATGATATGCATTAAAATATTTACATGTCTCCAAAGTGTTCAGATATTTAAATGAATGACTCCATTATCAATTTCTTATTTTACTCCTTTTCATATGCATATCCATAAATTACAAAGTAATATACACCATCTCTATTTTAGCCTAATTTCTGGGTAAGTTTTATAATTGAGATTTTACCAATATTTGAGAGAATTCCTTTTTAAGAAAGCCATAAGTAAGCTTAAGCAGACTTATCTATATCAATTTTATCTATCTTTTCTAGTAATTTTTTAGCATATTAATCGTTTCGTCTATCATGATAGTTACAATTAAGTGCAAGCAAACTTACTTCATACTGGCTTAGGTCATTGAAATAAGATAGCTTGAAGGTTCTTGATTATCGTTCTAATTGATTTTAACACTTAGATTAAGTCCTCTTAAATTAATCTTTTTCGATTCTTCAAGACCACTATCTACCTCATGAACGATTGATAAATCATTTGAAAGCTCCATTGATTAAACAAAATCAAAATATGTTTTATTAGATTCTGATAAAATTATTTTAAGGTTTTTGTTTACGTATTAATTACACATATTGCATCATACGGGGTTTTGGGGTTTTGGGG